ATTATTATTATTATTATTATTATTATTATTATTATTATTATTATTTCCACATTATTCACCCTCTTTTATACTTATACAGCGGCTCGTCTTTGGTGGAAATTCGACTGTATCTAAACGTTCTCGAGTCACTGTCCGGTTGAAAATTGTATGTTACCACCGAATACGAGACTGAAGCAGTTTTCTGAAACCACGTGCACCATTCAAACTGGCTGCCTTCAACGTTCGCACATTTATGCAGGTCGGACAACAGATAGGGCTGGCTATGTCTTTGGAAAGTCTTAATATCGATGTTGTTGTCTATCCGAGACCCGTATTCAAGACTCTGGCGAAGTACTACAAATTCGATCTCCATCTGTCGCTTCGAAAAGCTTGTTTTACGTGCGCTTATCCGGGGACCCTGTGGCATCTTCGTCTGGTCTTGCTGGCGTTGGTGTCGCACTAAGCGCTAGAGCTGAGGCAGCACTAGTCGATTGGATCCCCATTAACAGTCGGTTATGTGCTGTTAGATTAGAAAGTTCCATCAAAGTGAGAAGAAATCGGCGTGAGAAACGATGTCTTTTCGTCATCTCCGCCTATGCCCCGACAGATTGCAGCCCGGATGCAATCAAGGATGAGTTTTACCACCAGTTATCTGTTCTTCTCCAGAAAGTGCGTTCGACAGATATTGTAGTACTAGCCGGAGACTTGAATGCTCAGGTCGGGCGTCTAGGCACAGAAGAGAGTCGTTTAGGTGGCCGATGGGGACTCGTTGGTCGCAGGTCAGATAACGGGGACCGTCTACTGCAACTTGCACAGACCACAACCTGTTTCTGGCTAGCACTAACTTTCGGCACAGTCATCGCCGATGTGCCACCTGGCGTCCTCCCTCTGCATCTCAAGCCTGGACTCAGATTGATCACATCGCGATCAGCTACCGCTGGCGTGGTTGTGTACAAGACTGCCGCTCCTTTTGGAGTACCTATCTGGACTCTGACCATGCCTTGGTCTGCGCCAATCTTGCCTTACTTTTCAGTGGACAACGAAGTGACGCCACCAACGGATTGATGTTAGCAAGCTGGTTGCAACTTCTGTTGCAAGTAAGTATCGAACCGAGCTAGCCTCTAGGCTAGCTACCACTCCACCGAAAAGTATAGATGAGCATTGGTTGCAATTGCATGACGCCATGAAAATGGCGGGAACAGTCAGTTGTGGGTTTGCGAAACGTCCCGCTTTAAGCACTGGGTTTCTTCTGGTTCCTTACAACTCATTGAAGCCCGTCGGTCTACTCCGGGTGACCGTGAGTTTGACCATAAACGAAGGATGTTACGTAAGGAAATTGGGCAAAGCTTGCGTAAGGACCGAGAAGCCTGGTGGTCGAAGCGTGCTAATGAGCTGGAAGCAGCAGCTGCATCTGGTAACTACCGGAAGCTCTTCCAACTCATCCGAGCCACTGGCAGCAAGAAGTCTGGTGTGAGTGAAACAATCTGCGAGGATGATGGGATGCCAATCACTAACATCCATCGACGTCTTGGACGATGGGCAGAATTTTTCGAAGGGCAGTTCAACTGGCCTGCTGCTCCGGCAACATCGGTCAGACTGTCCTGCCCTCCATGGCCGGTGACGACTGATCCACCAAATGAGGAGGAAGTCCGCAAGGAACTCCAACTCTTGAAGCGTTACAAATCACCTGGCCCAGATGACTTACCTCCGGCTCTTTTTAAAGATGGTGGTGACTTTTTGACTAAGGAATTGACGACGTTGTTTACAAAGGTTTGGGAACTAGAGAGTGTACCAACGTCATGGAATGAGTCGATAGTTGTCCCTATCTTTAAAAAGGGTTCACGTCGTTCCTGTAACAACTATCGGGGGATAAGTCTACTTCCGATTGCGTCCAAGCTATTGGCTTCCGTCATACTTCGTAGGTTGTTCAAAACCCGAGAAAGATTGACTCGCGAGGAGCAGGCTGGGTTTCGTTCTGGTCGAGGATGTATTGATCATATCTTCACCCTCCGCCAAATGTTAGAACACCGCCATACTTATCAAAGGCCAACAATCGTAGTGTTTCTTGACATCAGGGCTGCCTTCGATTCGTTGGATAGGACTGTTCTCTGGGATTGTCTATTGAAGAAGGGTGTGCCTGAGAAGTTTATTAACATCCTAAAAGCCCTATATAAAACACCTCAGGCAGAGTGAGGGCATACAACCACCTCTCTCCATTGTTCCATTCGAGCAGTGGGGTTAGGCAGGGTTGCCCAATCTCACCATTCCTCTTCAACTTTGCCATCGATGACATTCTGGAAACAGCTCTGATGAATGTAAGTAATGGTGGTGTGGATCTGTTGCCTGGAGAAAGACTTCTCGACCTTGAGTATGCGGACGATATTGTCTTACTGTGCGATAATGCCCAAGGCATGCAATCCGCACTTAATCAGTTGGCAATCAGTGTCCGTAGGTATGGTATGTGCTTTGCACCTTCGAAGTGCAAAGTACTTCTACAAGACTGGCAGGATTCTAATCCTGTACTCACCCTGGATGGTGAGCAGATAGACGTAGTCGAGAAGTTCGTGTATCTGCATAAGTGCTGGTGGGGGTGTGAGTGATGAGATCAATGCACGAATAGTGAAAGCCAGAGCGGCTTATGCCAATCTGGGCCACCTTTGGCGCCTTCGTGATGTTAGTCTGGCTGTAAAAGGTCGGATCTACAACGCGTCGGTGAGAGCAGTTTTGCTCTATGCTTGTGAAACCTGGCCTCTCCGAGTTGAGGACGTTAGACGACTCTCTGTGTTCGATCATCGCTGTCTCCGAAGGATTGCTGACATTCAGTGGCAACACCATGTCAGTAATGCAGAGGTTCGGCATCGTGTGTTCGGGCACAGAGATGATAATTCAATTGGTGTCACCATCTTGAAACACCGACTTCGGTGGCTTGGACATGTTCTCCGAATGTCGTCCCAGAGAATTCCACGTCGTGCATTATTTGCCGACTCTGGGACTGGTTGGAAGAAGCGGAGAGGTGGTCAGTGCATGACATGGTGTCGTGGCATGAAAGAAAGCTGCAAAGGACTGGCTTGTGTTGGTCCTTCACGACTCCCTGGTTGGGGTCCGAGAGATGGTGCTACACAGTGGCTAGAGACGTTATCAGATATGGCTCAGAATAGAAGCCAGTGGCGATCCTGCTGTAACCTTCTTTTACTTTCTTCATAAAAAGTGGTTGTGTCTCCTTACCTGAAAGATTTCTTCTGATTGTACCTTTCCGTTCCCTCATTATTACTATTATTATTACTACACTACCTTTCACCAATCTCTTCGTTATTGTTCCCTTTTTTCTCTTTCTCTTCGAATTCTCATTGTTTTGTGTGGCGCATATATTTTGGCGCTTTCTTGTCCCAATATTTATGTGTTCAAATAAATAATAACCTATATCAAGATGATCTGCTAATATTCAATATTTGCACAATGCTGAACTTGAGACAAGAATTCTAGGTTATAGGTATACCTAACTGATAAGGCATGAATGAGTATAAACAGAAATTCTGTGTCCCCTTATTAGCCATAAACAAATGTGACTGATAGGTCAAACACTCTAATATATTTTTCCTGTTATTTTGAATGATCAGTTTACAGAAAACACTTGTGGTTGGCAGTACACGTTGTCAGTGCACAGGGATTAGGTATATTCCTTCCTGGCTGAGCTCACCTACTTAGGGATCAAGTCACTCTCTACAATTACTGCCCTTAAATGTCCTTGTACGGCTGAGAGTGAGGAGAACCCTCTTTCACTCTCGAAATGTCCTCATATAGCCATGTGTATAAAGCCACTATCAGGGAAGTCTTAATCACTTCCTTCTCTAGGCGGAGCTGCTGTTTACGTAATTTAGGGGACGAAAAGCGAAGATCCGCCGCTTCATCCATGTTGGTGGGTACGGAGAATCCACTAAAAGTTGTTGGAAAACCCTGATTTAAAACCAGTATCGCACATGGGCTCCAGAATCCTGAGGGAACAAATGGAGTATGAACCTACTTTCGGTCACCAACTACCATGGGACCAAATCTCCGAACGTCGCTTCACTGCCTTGTGGATTTCAGGTCGTTGTCCCCGAAGAAAAACACATGTCTCGGTTTGGGCAACTGAACAATATCCGAGTCCACACAACTATTTTATGTTGCACACAAATATTTTGGTGTCTTTTTGTACCAATGTATACGTGTTTAGATAAATAAACTACAATAACTACCAGTATGGGGGTTGTGGAGATTGTTAAGTTTTTGGTTGAGATCATGAATCAATTGATGTTAGACCACCGTTGGAAACCTGGAAGCACTGGACGGCCGTTTCGTCCTAGTATGGGACTCCTCAGCAGTGCGCATCCACGATCCCGCATCCCGCGGGATTCGAACCCAGGGCCTACTGGCTTCGCGCCTGAGCACTTAACCATTAGACCACTGAGCCAGCATCCAGTGGTTAGTGTCTAACATCAACCAATCCACGAAATTGCGCGACCAACTTCCATTGTACTGAGGTAGATACCTGTCTCTACCCGACACGGATTAGCTCCAATGGTCACGACTTCTCACTAGAACTCCGAGAATTCCCTCACGAAGCTAGTCACTAGTGAGCACATGTTGCCGACTACATTTAAAGAGGTATTTTGGATGGAGCTGGATAGTTTCAGAAAAACTAACCCAATTATTGCTTTCTAGGAGTGGTACTGTCTTTACTTTTCGAACTTTTGTGAGTTCGTTTGACAAAACACTTCACATGGAATTCTTTAAGGGACTTCTTCGTTTTCGAACTTAATGCTGCACCTCAACCTGTACTTAACCCACTCGAGTTATTAAAATATAAATGGTTTATTCTTTAGATAGTGTGGTGTGTAACCTAAGAGTATCATTTTGGAGGAAATCGTTAGAATTATTAGTAGAAATACTTCGAAATAGCTCAAAGAAGAAATACGTCACAGTATCTCAAAAAAGCTTTTTAAAAATTCATAAAAACTGTACAAGATGATAGGTGTATCAGTTATTTACAGTTATCCTTTTCCTGTCTCAATCACTATCACTATGGTCTGAATAAACCATTCCAGGTAATGGTTGACACGGCTGAGTATTATCATTACTGGTACATGATACCTGTTGATTAGCATTACTATCTTTTGATTTATCATTTGTTAACGAATTATTCATTGAGGAATTTGAATCACCATCAAGCTTTGGAATTTTAGTTTCTGATACTGACCTCTTTTGCACCCGTAAAACACCTTGAAGTTGTCGCTTTAGATAGGATTTCCCAATCTATGATAATAAGAAATCATGAATATTAGAGAACTAGGTATTGTAACAAACAGTCAAGAAAATAATAACTAAATAATAGATACAGGTATATATGACGATTTTTCTTGTTGTTACGCGATCCCAAGTCAGGGAAACTAGCTTCCTATACTTCATTGTGACCACAGGGTATGAGTAAAGTATGATCTAGTGCTAAAAACCAGCGTACAATCAAACATTTGGCGATATCTGGTTAGTTTAAAGGGAAGCAAATGAGGGTTGCACAGTTTCGTAAGCATAATTAAACCAGTATATTTCAAGATACATTTTACTTCAAACTGTATGTGATAAAAGTATAAGCACATATACGGCTAGGTGACATTTGAGCTAAAAAGGTTTAGCAAGTGATAGATAACAAGTTAAGACGAGCTGATTAGACTCATTAATCAATAGTACGTTTGTGCATTTACATTTGAGAGACTTGGTATATGAACACTACACTGATTGGCACTAGACCATAACGTCACTACCGTTATCCCATCTGACTGATCACAATCACTTATCGTCCCAATATATAAGAGAGGGTTAAAATCATCCTGTGATAACCATAGAGGGATTAGTTTAACTATTATAGCATCTAAAATACTAGCCTCGATAATTATCAAACGCCTAACTAAGACTCGTGAACTGCAAACACGAGAGAATCAAGCTGGCTTCAGACCTGGTCGTGGCTGCATCGACCACATATTCACCATTCGTCAGGTTCTAGAACACAGGCAGACTTAGTGGCGTCTGGAAGTGGTGGTCTTTCTTGACTTAAGGGCAGAATTTGACTCCGTAGACCACGAGATTCTGTGGCAGTGTCTGTCATTGAAAGGCGTACCTAAGAAGTATATAAACCTTGTGAAGGCTTTTTACTCGAACACTACTAGTCGAGTCAGAGCTTATGCTGAACTGTCATCTGGTTTTACAACCTCAATTGGTGTCCGTCAAGGCTGTCCACTTTCTCCATTTCTGTTTAACTTCATCACAAACCTATTGATGGAAATAGCATTCTCGGGTATTGATCTTCTTCCAGGAGGTTCACTTAAAGACTTAGAATACGAAGATGACATAGTCCTGTTTGGTGAGGATGCTGATAAAGTGCAGTCTTTTGGTAGCGCTATGCAACAATGCCAGAATGTTTGGAATGCGCTTCTCTCCCTCTAAATGCAAGTTGTTGCTTCAGAACTGGTCTGCTTCACTTATCTTGGAAGTCTGATCAGCCCTAATGGGTTGATATTGGACGAAATCTCAGCACGGATTCGAAAAGCTCGTTTGGCTTTTGCCAGCTTACGTCACATTTGGCGAAGGCGAGATATCCGTCTATCAATAAAAGGACGAATATACTGTGCGGCAGTCCGTTTTGTTTTACTTTACGGCAGCGAAACATGGCCATTAAGAGTAGAAGATACTCGTAAGCTATTAGTATTTGACCACAGATGCCTTAGAAATATTGCTAGCATTCTCTGGGATAACCGGCTAAGTAATAGTGAGGTTAGACGCAAAGTATTAGGGAATGATGGTAAATCAGTTGATGAGGTTGTGAATCTTCATCGACTGAAATGGTTGGACCACGTGTTGCGTATGCCTGAACACCGATTACCACGACGTGTGATGCTAACCGGTGTTGGAGATGGTTGGAAGAAAGTTAGGGACGGCCAAACCAAAACGTGGTATCAGTGCTTGAAGTCATTAACTTCCGGTCTGAGTCATGTTGGGAGATGCAGACTACTTGGTTGGCGTCCGCGTGACTATCGTAACCAATGGTTGGAGACTCTTGGTGACATGGATCAGAATCGATCACAATGGCGTCGGTGTATACATTCTCTGTCTTCCCTTAAACTAAGGGTTTAAATCGCTTCATAACTTTCTTTCTACGTACTAATTCTTTCATCCTGTACTATATCCTTATTGCGATCTTTTTTTATATATTACCACCTCTGAATTAACTACTTTTATGAATCCGGTGTTCATCTTGTTGTGTTAATGAGGTATGGAAACTTGGACCGGTGCATATATGTGCCTAGTCCTATGTTGCAGCTGACTGACTGACTGATAAAGTCACTACTGATTTGAGATGTACCGAGGTGGAAACTGTCCAGTAGTGTCGCCGGCGATAACCGTAACTTATGGTTGGAAACCCTACCTGACACGGCCTTGGGTCGGTCAGAGCGAAGCCGATATATGTGTTGGTTATTTTGCTTTGGATTATTAATATTGTAGTATAAATGAGTCTGATATACACTTCAGGTAACTTTAGAAAGTAAAACCCACGATGTTAACATGCACTTAACACTTTTCTGACCATACCATTCTCATTACCATAATTACTACATGTTTAGGTCGCACATTCTGAAACAGTTATAAACAATTCCCGTGATACAAACCATTCTGTAAACTCTAAAACGAACTTTGAACATTCGGGTTTAAAATTATCCCATCTACATACCACCACTAACAAACCTGAATAATAAATGGATAGTTATCAAAAGAGAGAATCTCTGGCCAACTAACTGGATATTTATTGAATGGTTACAACCATAATTTATATACATATTATTGAAGCAAGACATTATGACTATAAATTAATTGTAAGATAATTATGCAATGATGTAAATGAAGATTACAAAGGAACTAGTGAGACTACACTTGCACATAATGTCCCTTACACAGTTTTCTTAGAGTTAAGAGAAAAATCAATTTTGAGCCCTAATGTTGACTAGAAATTTAGTTTACAAAATATCAAGAAACATGGCGAGAAGTAACTAAAGTTCGAATGTATGACAAACTCCCATAAAGTTTAATTTTAATCCATTTGATTATTAACGAAGGACCTGTGACATAGCATTATTACTAGTGTGAAAAGATATGTCTGGTAAAAAAAAATCGAACCCAAACCATATCAGTTTGTGCACTTACGACGTTAAAAAAGTATAATTAATATCCCTTTATCAAATGAGGATTAGAAAACAAATTGTCTAAACTACGTGTTGGTGTTACGCTAGTTGAACAATCAGAAAATTATTTAGGGAACAGCAAGGACGACGACAAACGTAAAGTTGACATTTTTAATATACAGTAAGTTGCGCAACAAAAGGCATCCGTTCTAGCACTAACTCCAAGTAGTCAGCACTTACAGCAGTCCTGATATTTTTTCGTTACCACTTACAACGTAAATTGACTAGATCTAGCGAAAAATAAGATTAGGAGACGAAACGGAACGATTATGAAACTTGGGAAAAAAACTTTTGTAGATCATTAAAATATATTCTACTCACTTCTACTGGTTCCTTTCTATTGACTTTCATAAGATCTTTCAAAGCTAGAAAAAATAAACAATTAGATATAACATCATGAACCTGGTATTCTGATCGGCTTAGAGGAATTTTCACCTCCAAACTCCAATGGTAATGAGTGGACTTTCTCGGATTTTGAAGCAAGTAATTCCCTTTGGAAATAAAATTAGACGGCAAGAAAGTGGTCTACTTTATTAGTGCATCGTCTGCTTCTTTTTCAGCCTCCTTGACAGCTTCTTCTTCTCGCCACATTTGCCTCAAAAGAACATGATCTGCTTCCATGGTGGCTTGACGTTGATTTAACTGTTTCAAGTCTTCGATTACTTCGACCATTTCCATCTCTTGTTTGCTTTGATCAGTTCTCTTTTCCAATAATTTCATTGGGTTGTTAGCAAGTTCCTCTTCCTCTTCAGCTTGACGTTTAGCTTCCAGTTCTTCAGCCGTTTTTAATGCTTCGAAGTTTCTTTTAGCCCCACTTTCTAGGACGTAATCCCCGCTTTCTAAATCAGTCTATGAACAACAGTTGACGTAAAAAATGAAACTCAGAGAGCTTACACGCCAGATAATCTCAGCACAACACAAAGGACATCGTATGTAAAACCGATAGTGTCTTAGGCCCAAGTAATCTACATTTTCTGCAGTTTCCATTCGCGAATTGAATTTTTTAGCTTTGTATATATAACCATTGCACGTATTGCACCTGATGCTAGTGATATTACAGTAAACAAAGTTACCTCATGTTAAATGGAGCCATTGTTCTAATATTAAACTGTTTACGTCGGTCGCCTCTTCTAAGACGAGGTATTTTTGAAGGATCATAGTCTGGAGGAAAATATTTCTATAATTTATAGTCACCAGTGTAATCTTAACTAACTTACATTTAGGACTTTGCGTTCGGTCATTATTAAAACTCAACGAGAAGAAAAGTACCTGCAGAGAAACAATACAAATATTATATGTAAAAATAATATTTGAAATAATCTCAGCGATTGAAATTTAAATAATCCCAACGTTTTGTCCAGCTAGCCTGTCTGGACTTCTTCAGGGTAATAATCAATTTTGTGATATGTACTGATCCTAAAAATTACAATGAATACGTGCAGCGAATATACGGCATTTCAAGTTGTGTGCATTTACTACGACATGAACTGACTACAGTATTGAACTTTAGAAGATGGAAAAACTACAGAAAACTAAGTCAGTCTTTAGTAATAAGGATAGGAAGTCTATCGACCTATATTAATCCTTGAAGTTTGTAATACTGTGGTTTAACCTCGTTTTGACTATATCAACAGGTGCTGATATTACGTGTTCTGGTAGAGCATTCCAGTAATTCACCACTCGGTGCGAGCCCCATTTATCCTTATCCTTTGTCTCCTGTCATGGAGAAAGTTACTTATCCAATATACGACTGTATAATGGATCCCAAAACGTTCCAGTTTGAATTTAAGACCAGAGTGGGAGACCTTATCGAAGGTCTTACTTAGATCTATGAAGATTATATCCACAGGAATATTTCGATCTTTTTGCAGCAGCCCAAACTTTTCTGTTGCAATGAGATTTGCCAGGCATGATAGGCCTGGAGAAAAAATTATGCCTTTCAACCTAGTTTATGACAGATATCCGAATGATTTTTCCCACCAGTTTTACAACTGCACTAGTTAAGCTAACGGGCCTATAGTTACTAACTGAATCCCTACTCCCAGCCTTATACACCGGACTTATTATAGCGTTTTTCCAGTCTCTGGGTAGTATGGACTGTCTCAGAGACATGTCAAATAGTATCGTTAGTGGTTCAGCGATTTCATCTGACATGACTTTCATAATCCTAGGATGAATATCATCAGGACCACTGGACTTATCAGGTTTGAGATGCTGAAGTAGCCTTAAAACAGTACCTTTCTCAATGACTACAGGATCCATCAGTGAGCCGTCACAGTCACGATGAATCGTTGGTCGTTCCTCATTACCGATAGAAAATACTTTACTAAAATATTGCGACAAAGCTTCAGCCTTTTCGGCATCATTTTCTGCCAAGATTAACGGATTTTCTTGTATAAAAAGTGATGGAATTCCATCGCTTCTCTGAGTTCGCCTTTTTATATACGAGAATAACCGTTTCGGACTATATCTAGAATCCCTAACCGATTGTTTTTCATATTATAGTCTAGTCTTACTTATTAACGCTTTACAGGTATTCCTAATCTTACAATAACTGGATCTGTATTGTTCTAAGCCAGTAGGGATGAACATATTCCAGTGATTCTTCCTTTTCCTACGGAGTTTCCTGACTGATTTAGTTATCCACGGTGGACTGTCATTCGGTCTTCGTGGCACCAGGTATGGTACGAACGGGGACGTAACTAGACTAAACTCACCTTTAAATACAGACCATGCTTCTTCAACTGATAAGCTAGTATCTACAAACCAATCTGTCTTAGCAGCGCATTCCTGAATGGCTGATGTTAGCTTTCCAACCGATGGTTAGAGACCCTGAATAACATGGCTCAAAATCGTTTGCAATGGCGCAGGTGCATCCACTCTCTGTGTTCTCCCAAATTCTAATCTTCTGAATCCTTCATGTCCCTTTTTTCCTCTTTCCAAATTTATTTCACTGGATTATACTCTTTAAATAACATCTCCAAACCCTAATCTTCCCGATTACTGCTTATACTCTTATTACCTCTACCACTACGGGATTTGAATCGACAACTGCATCTCTGTGTTAATGTGGTGTGGCAACTCGGACTGATGTACGTACGTACGAAGTTCTACGTTGTTACTGACTGACATTTGGGAGGGGTGTAACCTGATCGTATAACATATCCCTAGTTCTAAACTTGAATGACAAAACAGCGTGGTCGCTGCTCACTAACGGTGGAAGAATATTTAGGTCGACAATATCCTCAGTATCATGAGTGATTACCAAGTCCAACAGAGAAGGACCTTGGTTAGCACCAAAACGTGTGGGTTTGGATAAATGCTGCACTAATGCATGCTCCATTATTGTTATCAGGAACTTACTATCAAAGGAGTTTATAGATCCTTCCCTGGTCATCTCAGTCCAACTGATATCAGGTGCATTAAAGTCTCCTATTATCAAGCATCTGGTATTTGCACTCCAAAGCTGAATGTGCTCTAAAACAAAGTCATCAGCTAGGCAGACTGGGCTGCGATAGATAACACCGAGCATAAAGGTACTACATCCGGTAGCCAATTTACAGCTAATGACTTCACAAGTACCGCTATCATGGGATTCGCTAGCAGAGAAGCGGATATTCATATTATAACAGGACGCCACCTCCTTTTCTACACCTATGTCTATCACTCCTTAGGTAATGGTATCCGGATAATTCTGGAGTAATGTCTAAGTCATGGACTAACCAAGTTTTTGTCACTGCTACAATGAGTGGCTTTAATCTGTCCACTAATGCTTCTAGTTCATACGACTTATTTCTTAGAAAACGAGCGTTGGTTAAAAGGAAGAAAACAATAAACGAAAGATATTCTACAACTAAACAGAGGCAAACAAGCTTTCAGTATACAATACGTCTACATCTTATTTCGTCATTTGACGCACAACACAAGTGAATGTTATGTAGCATTCTGGAGCAAGTGTCAGATTTATTTGAGTAGAGCTATTAAAGTCACATAAACTCCATCCTTATAATACAATACGACCAGCTTACCACCTGTTTTATCACGTTATAAAATCTTTATACTTACTTTAATTATAACGTTTAGATACTTTTCCGATCTCCGAATTTCGCGGAAGCGGCCATAGTAAACTTTGGGGAAATGGCACAAAAACCACAAAATTTCCTCAGAATCTCATTACACTTTGGGGAAGTGTGTCTATATTTATTATTAATACTAAGAAATTTCAATATTTTCATTTGTTATAACAACGTTATAACGTTTCCTTCCACGCTTTGGGATGGAAAAATCAACTTAACGCAAACCTGAGTACCAGCATAAAGAGAATTTCATGCTTATAAATTGTGAGGGGAATGCCTGAAACCTATGGATCGAAAACACATAAAGTATAATACATTGCTGTGTCCTTAAGACGACTTTTCACAGTTGACATCAATGAATACTCTCTGGTAAAAATAGTTAAGCCAAATTGGAATACCAAATTGAGATAGAACGCACTCTTTTGTTTTTTTTGGTATCACGATGATACCATGAAGTTATGGACCTCTACCGAAACCTGATCTATTTACGCATCTGCCAAGGTCACTGTTTATACCAACCAATCTTAGCGAAATCCAACATCCAATATTTAGCCATGGGCTCAAGTAAGCAAATATTTCTGGATGGAACAGAAGAAGCTTTTGCCTAACGGGTTTCCGTATATAGTGGCAATGGAACACCAGTGTTGACATGCCGGAACCCAGGTATATTTAACAATGAAAATATGAATACTGGTAAATTGTAGTGATATACTGTCCTGGGTCCTGAAGAATATGTTAAGTTTTCTCTTAAAATAATGCTGTAAAGACACCAAGACTAGCTCATTCATCGGCAAATTCCGGAAGTTAGCTACTCCTAGAGAGTAAATAATGTGACTATAGTCCACACTACTATATTGTCTCCAATTTCTGAATGTTAGCCATAGATTTTGTGCTGAAACTGAACTTGAGTAGGTATTAATAGGATTCTTGAGAGTATTCATGGTGCAATAATTCACTAGACAGCTACCTATGTGATGCCCATACTATAAACATTAAATATTCAATTATTCGTAGCGCTTGTCCTGATGTTTGTGTTTGAACTTCCTAAGTGGTTTCATGTGTTGATCACCAACGTAGATGATCTGTGCCGGAAGATTGGGGGATACTATAGACGGGCAAAAATCGTGTGACCAACCATCTGACACCAAAGTCACACACCATGGTTAATACCTTTTCGCCGTATCCAGGTACTGTGGCTGCTTTGATGACGGTACGACACAGACAAGGTAATTACAGAAATATATTAGTTAGAGTAGGTACAAGGAGCGGTATGCGACCACCACCGCATGGGTCAGCACGTAACGTGTAGTTGACTGATGCGTAATCGTTATCGTTAAACTTGTCGAGGATCGATGGATTGTTCGATATATAGTGACACAAATGCCAGATAATTTACCTAGGACCCAGTGACGTTCCACTAAACCTACACATTCGAAAAGGACAAAACAGATAAAACTAGCCTCGATTTCAAAGACTAGAATGACTGTATGGTAAACTGGGACAAAACGACAATTAACAATTTACTGGAGTAAAACTCGGGAAGAAAAGTATTCTACCGATCATTAGGTTCAAGGTAAATTCTGTGGGTGAAAAAAGATATTTTTGTTGCGTAAGAACACAGCAAAAGTCTGAGAAATGCAAATCACGTTAGCAAAGATGGCGCTGTAATTAGTTTGTCTGGCAGAGCATATTAGATGTGGTCAAATGTTGATAAGAGAAAACGAGAGCAGTTCTGTCTGTCCACTCTTCGATTTGCGATCTTTTTAGGTTTGCCTTGAAGAACAAGCTGATCATATTGCTGCATTATGTTGGTGTTGAAGTTGCCTAACGTACTTAATATGTTGTATGTTGCTGTAGTTCAATCAGATTGATGCTAAATTTTGGAGTCTGTCTTCGTCAGATTTGTGCATTAAACCTATCAACCACTTGATTGCATGTTTGTGCACTTGGTCCAAAAGGTTTATGTCGCCTTTAGAGACTTACCTATTCATAACCAGGTATTTTAACAACCCCTACTTCTAACAGACATTCGACATGTATCTTCAGATATACAAAACACGACCCCAATCAATATATTTAGCCGGGAACATTACACAACGAATCACGTCTACTGAACTACCCGCATTTTTGTGAGATCCCGGATCAACTCTCGATTAGCTAAACCT